AAAAATAATATTGTGAAAATGGGCGGACAGCCAGTTGATACAAAATACATCACTTGCAGCCAAGTTTTTTTTAAAAAAAGACGTGACGGAAATGGTGATGCAGTATAGAAGAAGTCATATGCCTTCTATCCCTTGTGAATGCCCGTTTACGATGTCCTAACTGCTTCACTACGATGTCTGAACTACGTACATCTACCTTAACGCTGACAATGTCCGAACTGCTTTTGATGTCCATCACTATGGAATTCTAGGATAGTGCATAAAGTTTCTGTCAATTCTGGGCGGATGCATGTCCATCTTCAATCTGTGATTGATTGTGCTGTCATCCACTCCAGACTGTGATTGGCTGTGTGATGGCCTTTACAAAATACTATGTGCAGTTTTTTGTGCACTGGTTAATTTAATACCTCTCTAGAATTCCATACTGATGTCCATGTAGCCGCGTAACTACGTGCGCACGATATGCGAGACTAGCGTAGTTAGACAATAACTGTTCAAATTATTCCTGCGGGCTGCTGCGATGGTGAGAAAATGTTTGCTCACCTGATAGCCCGGTGTTCGATGAGGAGGACTTGAGTATTCTGGAAGATATGCAGCAACATGAGGAAAAAGAGAACGAAGAGGATGAGTGCAGTGATGAGGAAATTGACGATGGCCTGGCTAATATGGATTTTTGAAGAGAAGCGCAAACTTATTGCACTAGAGGCGGAGGACTGCCATCTCTTTGACTGGAGTGATGCGTCCGAACAATAATTTGCAACCAATATTGGTTTTAAGAAACATCAGGCCAAACGGGGAAAGAGCGGTGGCGCTCACATACCAAAATCGAAGATTAGGCAATTGAAGTCGCGANGACCCCCCATGTAGCAAGCCAAAGCGAGACCTTCACCTAAACCTTTCATCAGACGCGTCAAACGCATCTACATTCAATGCCTCAAAATGTCTACCGAAAAAAAACGCTTCCTCGTCAACGATCCACGACTCTGCTGCGGTGCGCGACGCATCTTCAGAGATCGACATCGGCTTCGACTATTCTTCGGGAAAGCCTGTGCATTCAAGTTCTTCAACGATGCAAGACGCTTTCGTAAATTTGGCGACCATGGCCCGTTTGGCTATTTCGTAACCCAGCGACTATGGGCCAGTATGCCCAGCGGCGTCACCAGCTAAGCCCCCCTCCCAAGAGGTTGAGGTCCTCTCACCGTTGCAAGATGTGCCGCACAGACGCGAAAGTACGTGCTATTGTTTTAAATATTGTTTAAATTGCGTCGTACATCCGCCAGCAGGCGGCACCACAGCTGCCGCGCCTCCGTCAGCAGACGCTGAGTTAGAAACCAGCATCAACAACCTGCGCCTGGCGGACAACTTGGAGGGCACCGTGCGTGAATGATGTTCATGTGTTAATTTTATGTTATTAGATTATGGAGTTAAATTGTTGTGTAGGCAGGGCAGTTGTGGGGTCAAGATGTGTCTTGCATGACGTGTGTTCTAACACAAGCATCTCTGTATGACGTGTATCATTAAGCATCTCTGTGATGCTTGTGTCCATCCATCACAACAAAAGTATTAATAATATCTATGCCCCCCCAGGCGGACGTGGACCACGGCGTGAAAGTGGAGGTGGCGGTGGTGGAGGCCTCAGACGCCTCCTTCAGCCCAGACGAGCTCGACTGCTCCGACGACGACACGGACATTTTCAGGGATAGTACTCAGTCGTAAACGCCTTAACGTCCTCAAGTTTCGCCATGAAGCCGCGGCTGGGCGAGCTAAAGAAACTTCAGTCCCGCTGTTGCAAGAAGCAGTAACATATTTCCCGGTATCAGTACGTGTCCTGGTAACTGGAGATTTGCGCAGTTAGAAGTTAATCGCATTCATCTGGGTATATATGCTCGAATATTTTTCCAATGTTTCTGCTATTATTTATTCACTTCGGAAAATGCAAAAGTGTTTATAATGAAATTTTTTGTAATTATTATAGACATTGCGTAACATATTGGCCCGAATTACGGTTCCTGTTATACATGTACAAATAATTAAGTATGTATTAAGTCACATTGGATTTGTTTTCGTACTCTAATAATATTTTATTATATTTACACTGTAGTTTTTTGGAGATGATTTGTAACAATTATATAATTATAGAGGAAACAACAGAATTTTCGATAAAAGTTTCACCACAGAGTTACTTAAACGCGTACGAAGCCCGAGTCGACTATTTCCTCACAGTTATTTATTCTGTTCACGGAAACGCATCCAGAGCAGCAGCAGCAGCAGCAGCGATGCAGGCAGCCTGGCGAAGTTATTGGACCGCAGCTTGCACATCACCATCGCCCGTCTACGTCAGGAGACGGGTGATGCAGCAGGAGCAGGTGTTGGGGCGGCAGCCGCGTCAAAACAACAACAGGACTTTCGTCACCGGCATCTACCTTCCATCAAAAGTATTATAGTCTTAGGATCATCACCTGCATCTATCATCCATCATAAGTATTATAATCTTACCATCATCACCTGCATCTATCATCCATCATAAGTATTATTGTCGGAGCGCGTAGAAGTGACCCGTCCGTTTGCAGGGCCAAGCCAGGTCTTTATGATACACAAAATTGTCATAATTGCATTTATATTTGGACAATGCCTTTTGTGATTTCCGTCATTGCATGTATGTATATTGTATATACTTGAGTAATCCTGTAGATTTAATGCTATAAATGTCTTAATTCACAGGAAAGTCACTTGCCGTACCGGGACTTAAGTTGACCCAACTGCTGGAGGCGTTACTGAACGGCAGCGCGAAGACCTTGATGGTGTTGAACTAAAATGACCCAGAACGCTTAATATACAATAAACATCACTTGAATAATATTCGTTCCATCCGTTATCCTTAGAATAGGAAATGTTGAGTAAGCATCAATTCTAGACGATATCTAGCTGGTAGCTGATATAGTGATATGCTACCTGGAAGCTCACGCTGTATGTGGAGCATTGTAGATGCCAGCGAGTGCGCTTCTTCTCAATACTGAATTAGCCAGCTAACGGGAATGTCTATGACCGCGACAAGTTGGAAATTTAGTGAAGAGATTCGTACCATATCCGTGAGTAGCCTCCTTATCGCTGCTACAACTTATCGTGCATGAAATTCCACCCTTGTAGACTACCGACAAGCACTTAGTCGCTCTACAATACGAACTCCTTTCGATGTATATGTAGGTCAACTACGTGCGCACGATGCAAGAGACTAGCTTGGTTAAGCAATAACGGTTCAAATTCTTCCGGTGGGCTATTTCGATGTGACCGTCGTCCCATGCTATTTAAAGCGAGATGACTAAGACATTTTACATCATTTTATGGATTACGTTTTAGGTCGCCTGGATGGAATAAGTTGACACCGGAATCGAGACGTGATTTTGCTAAGCTGATGTAGCTGACCCGCGGGTGAGAACACTTCAGCCAAGAGATACAATGCCGAGACAAAAGGTACCAAACTTTATTGTCTTGCTCATGAGGTACAGTAATTGTACAGTCTTACAAGAAACCGTCGATCTACAAATTAAATACTCGTTAAAAATTACGGAGTTGAGTGAAGGATTTACGGCATCCATGCGAAGACTGGAATTTATGCACGATACGCTCCAGCATTGCTAATGCAAGTTTTCAGTTCAGTTTCGTAGTTCTCATTTCTTCCCGTAGACTATGTCCAGCGCTGAGGGCTCCTAAATTTCTAGACTAAAGAAATGGAATTATGGGTACAGGAAGTTGCGTCCAAACATTCCAGTTATGGGCGACATGCCAGACGTGGCCTAATCTCCGACGCCAGCCCTGCTAAATACTAACTATGCTTATACTAACTGCTATATACAGCTTCGAACAAGGATTTACACTATACTAAACACTTTGGATCATTCATGGTTGAAACCACATGTTTTCTAAAAGCAGCACTTCATGGAATCCGACCTATGTAGCTCGAATCCAACCTAGGAAGATTCGCTCCAAAAGCAGTTACGTCTCGTCAACGAAATGGAGAAGGAGTCGAACTACGCGTCACAGGATGGCGGAGGCTTGCAGCACGACTTAGCCTGAAGTAAACTAATAACTACGCCTACTCGCCTAGGGTAGTAAACTAACTAATGACTACGCCTAATCTTTGTAGGAGACGGACCTGAGTTTTATCCATCGCATATGATACTTCGAAGTTAACAATCGCAGAGATGCGCAGTGCCTCGTAGCGTCGGTGGTACTGGCAGGAACGCTGTCCCGAACGCAGGATCAAACTACTGGTTCGCTGCGCTGTCTGGACTCAGGAGGAAAGCTGGAGTTGGCCTTAGTCTTCAAATTCAGATTCATAGAAATGTGGAAGCTTGGACCACATCGAATTAAAATTTAATATTCGTATTCGAATTTAATTTAAAGAATTACGTATTCATACAAATGTATGAATATTTACTTAGAGGCCTTTTAGGCCTTTTTTGTTCGCGTACTTGGCTGTTTTTCAAGCCACTAGCAATCTTGCAGAACACGAAGCGGTCGAAGTACAAGTAGCGCTGATTTATCGTCTGTGATTGGTGGGTTTCTCTTTGAAAAGCCGCCAGTGATCAATAGAGTAGTAACGGACTCTTAATTATTTAAGCTAGCAGGGCACCGCGGTTTAGTTTTGTAATATAAAACATAGTTAACTGAAAATGTTGACCACTACAGTGTCTGGCTGTTAGAAACTTAACGAGTTCAGAGGCGAGCGGTTGACTGTTATTAAGTTAATAGGGTTGCCAGATGGTCTGAAATCGGCCAAGTCCGCAGATAAAAGCAAAAGAAAACCTCAATTCAACATTTACTAGTAATATGTAGCATGCGTTACAAAAATGGAATTTTTAGTTTGTTTTCAATCTTTAAAAATGTATAAGGCAGTATTATATATATTCGCTATTAACTGCTGCCACATATAAATTCCCGTATCGTATTTTCTATTCACATCAAGATGTTTCAGGGTTTAAAAAACCGTCATGCCGTTGGGCTCATTGCTCAGGTTTTATTGCTAAACTTACATGGCAGTGTACAGACTAATGAAAACCACGCGACGTTATGGCGGGAAAATGTTCTCCCACACTCTGGACGTTATGGCGGGAAAATGTTTTCCTACACTCTGGACGTTATGGCGGGAAAATGTTTTCCTACACTCTGGACTGATGGATTATCTATAAAGTGCACTAAATAGTGGCAAATAATAAGCTATTGAATTACTTTCGTTTCCGATTCTATGATCATACCAGTAAATTATTCTGTGATTTTGCATCATCATGTATTAAAAAGATTTTACATTTAATCATGAAGAAGATCGGGAAAATAGCAATCAATGGCAACTCAAAAGTACTAAGGTTGCCACTTTTTTCACTAAATTAGAACTGAGTCCAGATTTATCATACACGAATTGTCTATAATTTCAATTTTTCATAAGAGAGGAGACATGATCTGATTATACGAACGTTAGGTTCATTAAATGGAGTTAATTGACGAGAAACATTTCATGAAGTGAGTTGCGATTGACAATGATGAACAGTTACTAGCGCCAAAATTACCCTAACTGATATTCAGCAAATTTCCTTACCCTAAAAAGCGCTATAAGAAAGCAATTACCTTCACTGTAAAACCGAAATCTCAGTATTTTGCTCAAACAATTGCTTGCCTAAAATATTGTTACGTAAAAGTTTTTCAACATTTACAATTGGAATCGATGGAAAAATGAAACATTTCGACCGCCTGCAGCTTCTGAGTTGAATTACTTCTGTTGATCCTCCGAATCTATGGAGAATAAGGGGTTCCTTAGCTTACTTCTACCTAGGTCTAAAATTAATAAAAAATTCTCTAAATTTTACCAGCTCTTAACAGTTAAACTAAAATTATGTGAAAAAACACTGACGCTATAACTGTCATCAGTGTGATGACACTGGTGGACACTTGGCAAAGGTTCGTTCGCTTATCCATCTGACGTGGTGTTCCAGTTGTCCATCTGAAGTGGTGGTCCACTTGTCCATCTGAAGTGGTGGTCCAGTTGTCCATCTGAAGCGGTGGTCCACTTGTCCATCTGAAGGGATGGTCCACTTGTCCATCTGAAGTGGTGGTCCAGTTGTCCATCTGAAGTGGTGGTCCAGTTGTCCATCTGAAGCGGTGGTCCACTTGTCCATCTGATATGGTTGTCCCCTTGTCCATCTGAAGTGGTGGTTCACTTGTCCATGTGAAGTGGTGGTCCACTTGTCCATCTGAAGGGATGGTTCACTTGTCCATCTGAAGTGGTGGTCCACTTGTCCATCTGAAGTGGTGGTTCACAAGTGGTGGACCACCACTTGTGGACAAGTGGTGGTCCACTTGTCCATCTGAAGTGGTGGTTCACTTGTCCATCTAAAGCGGTGTCCGCTTGTCCATCGGAAATTTTTGTGCAAGGAAGTTCGAGTTGACCACAAAACAACAAGACCGCGTCAAATGCTAGACATGACGTCTGCATCTCAGTTTCGGTAACCATGTATAAAAATAGTGACTTAAGTACGCCCAACTAACTTAGGAGGCTATTTTCACATTGTTTTTTCATTGTTATTCCCAAATATAACGTCAGCCATCATCCCCAGCAGACTTCGTGATCGAATATGCCCTATCGTGGCCTTACAAAGACCTTTATGTTTGAATACGCCTCTACCCTGAATATGCCTATACTCTACCCTATCAGAAGCCCTTAATGTCCGAAAGTGCCCTACCCCGCCCTGCCAGAAGCCCTTATGCCCGAAAATGCCCTACCCCGCCCTGCCAGAAGCCCTTTTGCCCGAAAATGCTCTACCCCGCCCTGCCAGAAGCCCCTATGTCCGAAAGTGACCTACCCCGCCCTGCTTCCAGTTCTCCTGGCCGCGGGTCTCCGCTGTATGGCGCTCGCCGGCACAGCTTCTCCCGTAAACAATTCGTATCCACTTCCTCCGTCAGTGCCGTAACTGTATCCCGTGTATTCGCCATTTGTGCCGTAATTGCCATAGCCACCGTATCCACCTCCTTGTCCGCCAGTACCGTAACCTGACTCAACTCCTCCGTAACCACCTCCTTGTCCACCACTGTATCCTGACTCAACTCCTCCGTATCCACCTCCTTGTCCACCACTGTATCCTGACTCAAGTCCTCCGTATCCGCCTCCTTGTCCACCAGTGCCATATCCTGACTCAAGTCCTCCGTATCCACCTCCTTGTCCACCATACCCATATCCACCTCCACCATTTCTACCTCCTTGGGCCCCGAAACTGGTCCCGCTGGTCCCGAACCCCCCGAACCCAGAGGAAGAGGACCCACTACTGCCGAAGACCCCTCCGTACTGGGCGTTGGAGCCCTTCATGAACCCTCCTTCATACTCCATCATGGCGTCCTTCTTACTCTCTTCCAGCATGAAGGGCTCCATGTTAGGCTGAACTTCATTGCCCGTTACGACCACCGCACTTCTGCTGCAGACGTTGCACCTGCTGACGCGGGTCTTGAGGTCGCCCGCCTTCAGGGTCTGCTGCCGGGGTCTAGAGAACTGGTCCCGGAGCTCGATGGTGGCCATCCAGTAGCTGATAGCGGTGGTGAAGTAGTTGCATCTGCCGTGACCGTGGCACTCGATGAAGGGCGTCGGTCTGAAGTCTTCAATGCAGGAGCCTGGGGACATCAGGTTTTGGCCGCCTCCTTCAGCGCCTGCGTCAGTGTGCTGCAAGTAAAGGGAGGTGTCACAGAGAAATATAATTAGCAAGAATTGAAAAATAAAAGAAATTCAAAATATCTTCGATGTAGGGAACCCACTATAAGTGTGTCAGGATGACCCACCATGATGAAGGAACCCACTACCCAGTGAAAATTTACAGACGAGGCAGCTTCTGATTTGGAGTACCAGAAGCTGGGGCGACTCTAAACCAGAAGCAGGGGCGACCCTAAACCAAAAGCTGGGGAGACTCTAAATTTTGTTAGGGTAAGTGTGTCAGGATGACCCACCATGATGAAGGAGTAGCCGATCCAGAGGCTGTCCCAGTTGGGGGGGCAGTCGGGGATGTCGACGCTCTGGCTGTGCAGGGCGATAACCGAAGAGGGGGCCTCGCATACCACGCACCTGGGGGGAGGGAGGGTTAGGGGGACATGGGGGCCTCGCATACCACGTACCTGGGGGGAGGGGGGTTAGGGGAACATGGGGGCCTCGCATACCACGCACCTGGGGGTGAGGGGGGGTTAGGGGGACATGGAAGCCTCGCATACCACGTACCTGGGGGGAGAGGGGGGTTAGGGAATGGTGGAATTTTTATATATAGTATATATAGTGCTCGAAGTTACTTTTTGGCGGAGACATGTCCCTTCCCAGCTGTGATTGGCTGATAGGATCATGATGTCATCTTATCCAGACTGTGATTGGCTGATAGGATCATGATGTCATCTTATCCAGACTGTGATTGGCTGATCTGATAGGATCATGATGTCATCGTATGATGTCGGGGACATGGGGGTCGGCTAACTGGGGGACAGGGAGTGGTTGGGAGATCTACACTCACTGGGAGACACTCTGCACTCACTTAGAGACAATCTCCACTCACTAGGAGACAATCTCCACTCACTGGGAGACAATCTCCACTCACTAGGAGACAATCTCCACTCACTAGGAGACAACTCTCCACACAATCTGCACTCACTTAGACAATCTGCACTCCACACAATCTGCACTCCAGAACTCCACTCACTTGGAGACAATCTCCACACAATCTGCACTCACTTAGAGACAATCTCCACTCATTTGGAGGCAACAATCTCCACCCACTAGGAGACAATCTCTCCACAATCTCCACTGACTAGGAGACAATCTCCACTCCATCTGCACTCACTTGGAGATGTACTTCTCGATCTCTGGCCCGGTGATGGGGTTCATCATCATGGGCATGGGCTCGGGGGTGGACAGCCAGTAGGAGTAGTCGCCCCGCTGCGCGAAGTCGCAGACGTTGTTGGGGTTACAGAAGAGGTAGGGCATGGTGCTGAACTTGCGCAGACACGACCCTGGGGCTCCTGAAGGGGGGAAGAGGGGTTAGTGAAGGGCGGGAAGGGGGAAGACCCTGGGGATCCTAAAGGGGGAAGGGGGGTTAGTGAAAGACGAAGTCGCACCCGTTGTTGGGGTTACAGAAGAGGTAGGGCATGGTGCTGAACTTGCGCAGACACGACCCTGGGGCTCCTGAAGGGGGGAGAGGGGCGTTAGTGAAGGGGGAAAGGGGTCAGTGAAGGGGAGGAAGGGGCAAGACACTGGGACTCCTGAAGGAGGGAAGGGGGGTTAAAGAAGGTGCTGAACTTGCGGAGACACGACTCTGGGGCTCCTGAAGGGGGGAGAGGGGCGTTAGTGAAGGGGGAGAAGTGGGAGGTTAGGGAAGGGGGAGAAGTGGGAGGTTAGTGAAGGGGGAGAAGTGGGAGGTTAGTGAAGGGGGAGATTGAAGGGGAGAAGTGGGAGGTTAGTGAAGGGGAGAAGTGGAGGTTAGTGAAGGGGAGAAGTGGGAGGTTAGTGAAGGGGGGGGAGTGGGAGGTTAGTGAAGGGGAAGAAGGGAAGGTTAGTGAATGGATGAATGGGGAGGTTTCTGACGGGGATGAGTCGTTCCATGGCTGCTCTGGGGAGTTGGGGAGTAGTGGTAACATAAAAGTATATTTATATATAAAAGTATTTAGTATATAATTAAAATGCTACTGCTGCCTGAATTTCAAGATATGATGACCTACCCTCTAGAACCACTTTAATATGATATTGTATTCTATATATAATGTATATTATATAACATCTATATTGTATATAATGTATTTTATATAATATGTAAATTGTATATAGTGTATGTTGCATATAATGTATATTATCTATAATGTAAATTATTTAAAATGTATATCGTATATGATGCATATTATCTATAAGCATATTGTATAAAATATATAATAAATACAGAATATATACAAACCCAGGTCCTGGCTCTGGGCGCGGCCGTCCCCCATGACGTGCAGGAGGGAGTAGCCCTCCCACATGGGGGGCATCCCCAGGGGGCAGCGGGGGACCTCCACCGTCTGGCTGTGCCGGGTGAGCAGGTACCCACGGGACCGCGGGCCCGGGGCTGGGGGAGCTGGCACACCCGCGGGGCCGGGGTAACCTGCGCGGGGGAGGGAGGTGGGGAGTTAGCGGGGGTGGGTGTGGGAGTTAGGGGAGGTGTGGAAGTAGGGGGAGGTGGGAATAGGGTGAAGTAGGGGGAGGGTAAGGGGAAGTAGTATAAATATAATATTAATTTAAAGGATACTAGTTAATCATAATTTCATAATATGAAATATATTAATATACATCATATAACACATAATATTATATATATTATCATGTTTATTACACACCAGCAGGCCCGGGGGCCCCAGCGTATCCCGGGGCCCCGACGTCGCCCCGTAGGCCCAGTAGTCCCGGCAGGCCCACGGCGCCGAACCTGCCATCATCACCCCGCTGTCCCGGGAACCCTACGGGTCCCCCAACCCCGGGGTCACCCATGAACCCGGGGATGCCTGGGGCTCCTGCAAAAGAGAACAGGGTTACCATGTTTAACAGTGCAATTTAATTGCTGGCTATAATTGCCAGGCATTTAGGGATATCATATGAATAAATAAAAAGTAATTAGCACGTGGCAACCGTGTGCAAGGTTGCCAAGTAGTTAATTCTACAAAATAAACAGCCTTTTAAGTATATCCTAGGAATAAATAAAAGTAATTAGCACGTGGCAACGGTGTGCAAGGTTGCCATGTAGTTATTTTTACATGATAAACAGGTATTTAAATATATGTGAATGAGTACAAGTAATTAGCATGTGGCAACCTAGAGAAAAGTTGTCATGTACTTATTGCTGTACCGTAACAACTGGGCGTCGATGTGAATGAGTAATAAAATACATAAAAATAACTTTTTTAAAAAACTACGTTTTTTTGTTGTGGACTAGAAAGTAGAATATAAATTATGGCCCGCCCCAAAAAGCGTGTGTCGGGCAGATTTATGATTAAAGCGAAAAGCACACAACACACGAATTTTGGAAATTTGATGGTGAACGTACAGCCCGACACACGTTTTTTGGGGCGGGCCATAATTTATATTCTACTTTCTAGTCCACAACAAAAAAACGTAGTTTTTTAAAAAAGTTATTTTTATGTATTTTATTTTCTACTTTTTAGTCCGTTGTTACACATGAAAAACGTTGTTGCGAGCCAATTTACTTAACTTGACGTACGTATCGATGATACGCAACGTCAGCGACTGCTCGTCTATAACGTGAGCGGCCGCACGTCTTACTATATATAAACTATATATAGTATATACGCCTGGAAACGTGCAACAAATTATTGATAACTGTATTGTTATCGGGAGCTGAGCTTCCCTAAAAGTTTCAAAACGCTAGCTAGTGGGAAAGTTGGTGAAATATCGATTGCAAGATTTGATCATCACAGACAGACAGACACGAAAGCGAGCTAAGAAAAACGTAGTAAAAATAATCATCATTTGGCAACCGAGCCAGAAGTTGCCATGTAGTTATTAATCTGCCACTAGAGTCTTTTTGGATGAATATAAATAGTAAGTGGTAACGGAGTAAGAGGCTGCCATTTAATTATTTTTTTTAAGATGAAAGTCATACTTTCATGTATACCATGCAAATGAATGTAAGTAATTAGCATGTGGCAAACGAGTGGAGGTTGCCAAGTAGTTGAATATTTACAACAATAGTAAAACGTCTATTAATGAGTAGAGTAATTGGCATACGGCAATTGAATGAGTGGTTGCCATGTAGCCAATTCTGAATTAAAATATTTCGGCGTCAATGAAAATGAGCAGAAGTAATTAGCATGTAGCAACTAAGTAGGGGGTTGCCATGCAGTTAATTCTCTACCATAATATTATGGAGTCTATGTAAATGAGTAAGCAATTATTCTATACTATAATGGACGGGCATTTATGCGAATGAGTGAAAATAATCAACATTTGGCAACCAAGTGGGAGGTTGCCATGTAGTTAATTTTCTGCCATTATAGTCGGGTGACTTTGTGAATGAATATAGTATTAGCACGTGGCACGGGTATATATATAAGCTACTAGCAATCAGCGCAGGCGCAGTTTGAGTTCGAGTGTTAAGAAGGTTGGTGGTTGTGGTAAAAAGCTTTCTAACAGCGAACGAATTACATACTTTACATGGTACGTAAATTATTAGCGATTAATTTACTACTTAATTTTAAATTATTAGCAATTAATAATTTATTATTATTATTTAGCTATTCCTATAAATTAGGAATTGTATTGATATATATGGGTTGAAATGCTCTTTATAAAACCGGCGACATTGATGACTATGTCGTCGCTCATTCATGGTATACGATACACAAAAGGGTATACGATCGTTCGATCAACAATCCATGGCGGTCATTCGATCAATATTCCGTGTCGGTCATTCGATCAAATATTCAATCCCTATGGGGACTTACCCGCGAGGCCCACAAGGCCTCTGATCCCCGTGGCGCCCTTGAAGCCTGGGGCCCCCGCGAGGCCCGGGATGCCACGTTCACCCTGGGGGGAAGGAGGGGGGCAAAATGAGGGGGGTAGGCTGAGGAGGGGGGGGGGCGGCATGGCGTATAGAGGGAAGAGGGAGGGAAATGATGAGAGAGGGAGAGGGGGAGGGGTATAAGGAAAGGGTACAAAAATAAAAAAAATGAAGGGGGAAAAATGGATAATAAAATGATGGAAAATTTAAAATATATTCGATTGTTTCTAAAAATATGATACTTTTTGCTGATATTCTTAGAAATGATGAGGTGAGAACGAAAATTTCTGTAAACAATTGAATAAAAAAACTCATAAAGCATCTAAGTTTGAAATTCTGAATAAATAATATATAATGAAACTTTTGCTTTATAGGAAACGTATAGTATATATAAGACGTCTAATTTATATACAACATATACTTTATATAAAACGTATAAAATATATAATTTGTAATTTATATAATAAGGAATCTCGGTAATGCCATACGCTGTGTGGGACCGGGCCCACTGCGGGACCGGCCCACCGCAGGACCGGGCCCACCGCAGGACCGGGCCCACCGCAGGACCGGGCCCACCGCGGGACCGGGACTCACCTTGTAGCCCGGGAGGCCATCGGGCCCGCTGTATCCTACAGCCCCTGCTGACCCGCGGGCCCCGTGGGCCCCGGGCAGTCCTGGCAGGCCCGCTTCGCCCGGGGCGCCCTTGGCCCCCTTGCTGCCGTCCCGCAGCTGTTCTGGTCCCGGTGGACCCGGTAGACCCTTGGGTCTGAGATGGATGGAAGTATTACACCCTAGGGCTGAAACGGGACAGGGTTAGACCCTAGGGCTGAGACTAGACAGGGTTATACCCTATGGCTGAGACGAGACAGGGTTAGGCCTTTTGGTAGACGAGACAGGGTTAGACCCTATGACTGAAACGGGACAGGGTTAGACCCTATGACTGAGACGAGACAGGGTTAGTCCCTATGACTGAGACGAGACAGGGTTAGACCCTATGGCTGAGACGAGACAGGGTTAGACCCTATGGCTGAGACGAGACAGGGTTAGACCCTATGACTGAGACGAGACAGGGTTAGACCCTAGGGCTGAGACGTAACAAGGTTAGACCCTGTGGGTGAGACGAGACAGGGTTAGACCCCATGACTGAGACGAGATAGGGTTAGACCCTACCAATTAACATAACAGGGCTAGACCCTACCAATTAACATAACAGGGCTAGACCCTCACCCTGGTGGGCCGGGGTAGCCCGCGTCCCCCCGCTCCCCCTTCTGGTCCCCGGGTCTGCCCTGCAGGCCCGGTCTGCCGTCCAGCCCGCTGCGGCCCGGCCGGCCCGGGAGCCCCACGGGCCCTGTGTGGGGAGGGTTGAGTGTATATATATATATTACAATATATATATATATAATATAATGTATTATATAAAATATAATGTGGTATATATAAACATTATATATATTGGCCAATATATACAACATTATACGATGTTGTGTCAGTGCATTGATGACATATAATTAATTTATGTATAATTAGTGAATATTTCATTATATATGACGTATAAATAATGTAAATATTTTTTTGCATGTATACATTGTCCCCTATAACCCCTTATAGGCATTGCGTTATATATAGTTATGTATATTAACCCCCGGCATATATTCACTCTTTTATATATTAGTATAGGTTGGCAGAATTTCTTCTTTCAAGCAGGTTTCATTGAAGACCAGAGAATTTGTTTTATTTGCAATTTTCTTATTAGTTTTTTCAATATATCGAACAATATTTTTAGTTTGAACTGGCAAATCGAAAATCAGGTTACCGATGAACATGTTTATTTCGTTAACGACGTTTCGAATGTTTCTATCATTCATTATCAAGTTAAAAGGCGCATTGAGTGATGAAATTAGCGTCGACATAAGTACAAAGTCAAGTAAATAGGATACTACTCAAAAATCAAAATTGTTAGGAATAATTACAAAATCACAAAATAATTTAGAATCAAAGCACCGAAAATTACTCCGAAAACAGTCTCAAGGTTCTGACAAATCCAAAAAATCCAAAATCCAAAACTAATAAGAAAATTGCGAATAAAACAAATTCTCTGGTCTTTCTTTTATATATTTATATATATTGACCCCCCACAAAAATATAGATGAAACGCTGAAGACCTCTTTTATATAATATATTATATATCCTTCCCTCATATATATTATACATGGGCCCTCTCCTCAAATATATATGTATATGTAACCCCTCACATATATTCAACCTTTTATATATATATTGACTTCCATATATATATATTATAAACTAAAGGCCCTCTTATATAAAACATATTATATATCCTTCCCTCATATATATTATATGGGACCCCTCATATATATAACCCCCACCTCGGAAGCCGGGGTCCCCTCTCTGTCCGGGGAATGTTAGGCCGGGAAGGCCCGGGGCCCCAATGGGCCCTGTGGGCCCGAAGTCACCCGGTCGGCCCTTCTGGCCCGGTCTACCCGGGATCCCGTCCTGTCCGGGCCATCCATCAGCCCCGGGGGGCCCGCGCCCCGTGGGGGTGCCGGGGAGGCCTGGGGCCATGGTAATATTAAATAATTAAATTTATTTAATAAACATTTATTATAAATAAATGTATAATTTTATTTATAGATAAAAAATTATTTGTAATTTTTTTGACAAATAAAACTTATCAATAAGATAATTTTAACACAGCGCATTTACCTCCTATAATTATAATAAATATGTTGTATATATTATAATATGGTATATATTTAATTTATAAATAAAAATAAAAATATTATTCATAATTGTATTAATAAAAATATTTTATTAATGTAAAATTCTTAGCACAGCGCAGTTATCTCCTATAATTATAATAAATATGGTGTATATATATTATAATATGGTATATATTTAATATATATCATTACTCATATATATAAAGCCTTTAACTCGTACCGGGTGGGCCCGGTGGGCCCGCGGTCCCAGGGTCTCCAGACTGTCCCGGAAAGCCATCGGGGCCCCGTATGCCGGGGAAACCGTCGTCCCCCCGCGCCCCCTGCACGGGGATGGGGCCATTAAACCCCCTGCCATGCCCCATTCACCCCACCCCCCCACCCTGCATCCCCCTCCAAACAGTTCAAAACTCAACCCTGAGAACTATAACTCAACCCTATAACGCTTTCAAACGCTTAAGGATCAGTATTTCTAATAGCTTAATTTTCAAAATACTATAAATTTAACTAACGCACAAATTATACACGAAATATTGGTCTACCATAGCCAACAATAGACGACCTGTTGTATCCGCTAGTTCTTTGCAAGTCGGCATCTTGCTCGCAGTCACGAAGATTTATCGTACAGCACGACCAATATCAAAGGCTGAAAGACCTGACCTACGTATAATAATAATAATAATAGCAGTTTCAGCGTTTATTAGGCCGTAGGCCTGTCGCCGATTCTTAACATCGCAGAACATTCACAGCATTTTGCGGTCTCGAACTCGCAACTCACTGCTACAATTCTGCTGTGCTTAACCGCCCGGCCTCCTAGCCGATTCTGACCAGAAACTGGCGCACAGAGCTGGGATCGAACCCGCAACTCACTGCTCCAATCCTAGGACTCTGAACTTTAACCACTGGGCCACCCTGCACATATATAACCACTGGGCCACCCTGCCCATATATAACCACTGGGCCACCCTGGGTCACCTGTATAGCCCATGTCACAAATAAGTCCTGGCCGAGCAACAACTTTCACAAAGTTTCTGCACTTTGTATTTGGCTCGACCCTTCAAGGGTACCACCCTTAAAGCAGCTAGCAGCACCCTCCACTCCGACGCTGTCCGAGCTGCCGTACTTAACGGCTGGCCTCCTCCGCCAGTATATAAATCTTAACAAACACAAAAAAATAACCGCAAGATAAAAGTCCACAAGGTAAAGGTCTGTAAGATAAAAGATCCGCAAGATAAAAGATCACCAAGATAAAGGTCCGCAAGATAAAAGATTGGCAAGATAAAGGATCCGCAAGACGGACGTTGGCACAACTTCGCTCCGGCCACTATATACTCCTGAATACTATATATATTAATTACTCACTATATACTACTCACTATATTCACTGCACTATATACTCCTAAATATATACTATATACAAAAGCAGAATCCATAATAACATCAATAACCTGTGCAACTACTGCCACCTCTCCCCGGATAATGTGCCCCACCTCTTCGACTGCTCTAACAACCCAACGCCCTCAGCACCCCCCACCCCGCACTTCCCCACCCCACATCCCCCCACCTGTCATCCCCCTCATACCGCCTCCCCCACTCGTCATCCCTCACCCGTCATCCCCACACCCCGCACCCCCACCCGTCATCCCCCACCTTGGTGCCGTCGGCGCCGGGTGTCCCGGGGGGGCCCGGTGGGCCCGGGTCCTGGGGCCTCCCTGGCTCGCCCATGTCGCCCTTGTTGCCGAATCCTGTCAACGTCAACACAAAGTCAACTCTCAGGCGACACAAAGTCAACTCTCAGGCAACACAAAGTCAACTCTCAGGCGACACAAAGTCAACTCTCAGACGACACAAAGTCAACTCTCAGGCGACACAAAGTCAACTCTCAGGCGACACAAAGTGGGCCCACTGGGCCTTATGTCAAGGCTGGCCCAACTGGGCCATGGATTTCATCAAAAATTTAAAAATTGTTAACATAAATTTTTTGTGGGCCCATAAATTTTGGACCCCTTTGGCCTCATCAATCCTGGGCTCACTTTGGCCCCATCAATTCTGGACCCAATTGGCCCATCAATTTTGGGCCCAGTTGGCCCCAGTAATCCTGGACCCCGCCCCTGCACTGACCTGAGGGCCCCGTGGGGCCTCGCTCTCCGACGGCTCCCTGTGGCCCGGGGGCTCCAGGCGTGCCGGGGAACCCGCGGTCGCCGGGGGTGCCTGGGGAGGATGGGGACCAGTTAATACCCCATTACCAGCGCCCATTACCCATTACCAGCGCCCATTACCCATTACCAGCGCCCATTACCCCATTACCAGTGCCCATTACCCTCATTACCAGCGCCCATTACCCCATTACCAGCACCCATTACCCCCATCACCAGCACCCATTACCCCCATTACCAGCGCCCATTACCCCATTACCAGCGCCCATTACCCTCATTACCAGCGCCCATTACCCCATTACCAGCACCCATTACCCCCATTACCAGCACCCATTACCCCCATTACCAGCACCCATTACCCCCATTACCAGCGCCCATTACTCCCATTACCAGCGCCCATTACTCCTATTACCAGCGCCCATTACTCCTATTACCAGCGCCATTACTCCTATTACCAGCGCCCATTACTCCCATTTCCTGCACCCATTACTCCCATTACCAGCGCCCATTACTCCTATTACCAGCGCCATTACTCCCATTACCAGCGCCCATTACTCCTATTACCAGCGCCCATTACTCCCATTACCAGCGCCATTACTCCTATTACCAGCGCCCATTACTCCTATTACCAGCGCCCATTACTCCTATTACCAGCGCCATTCCTCCTATTACCAGCGCCCATTACTCCCATTTCCAGCGCCCATTACTCCTATTACCAGCGCCCATTACCCCATTACCAGCGCCCATTACCAGCGCCCATTACTCTCAGTACCTGCGCCCATTAAAAGCATCCATTACTCCCATTACCAGCGCCATTACTACTATTACCAGCGCCATTACTCCCATTGCCAGCGCCATTACTCCTATTACCAGCGCCATTACTCCCATTGCCAGCGCCCATTACTCCCATTACCAGCGCCCATTACTCCTATTACCAACGCCCATTACTCCTATTATCAGTGCCACCTATTTGCCTCATTACAAGCGCTCATTACCCCATTAACACTACTATTACCCCCATAACCAGGGCCCATTACCTGCGAGGCCAAAGAAGCCTGGGTCCCCACTCATGCCCTTGGGGCCCTGGGGCCCCGCGGGTCCGGGCAAAGCGAACGTCACGATGCCGGGGAGGCCGGGGAAGCCCACGTCCCCCCGCACCCCCGGCTCCCCCGTCGCCCCCGGGGTGCCCGCGTCCCCAGGGAGGCCCTGCACACCGAGGGGGGGGTTACGACCGAAGAGGTTGGGGGGAGGGGGTTACATGAACAGTGAATGACGGAGCTAACAAAATCTCTACAGCTTGTAATTTTTCGTCTGTTTAGCACTTAATTCATTATTTGTTTTTAGCATTATAATCAATAATAAGTATATTAATCATTACAATTGGACGAATAAGCTGTATTAATTTGTTATTTGTTATTGGTATTATAAGTAATAATTTGTATATTTACCGTTTCAATGCAATAAAATATTTTTCCGTCTGTTTAGTACTTAATGTATTATTTCTTATTAGTATTATGTGCATAATATATAGGTATAGTATATTATATAATAATTAGTATATTAACTATTACAATTGGATAAATAAAGCTTCATGTGTCAGTTGCCATGGACATTATTTATGAATGTAAAATCCACGAGACGAGGCTGGATTAGTCTGTGCTAGAATGCCGTTTTTTACTTTCAATTTCTTAGAAAACGAACCGGGATTTTTTTACAGCAATAACTACGTTATATTATCAATATGACCAGGGAATCCCACGAAGTTGCCTTTAACCATACAAAAGGGTTACCTAAGAATTAGGCAAAGGATTACCGTTACCCTATCATATATACAACAGCGAATGGTTACCCTGCCTCTAATACCATGGGTAACCGTTACCTTTAATCCGTTAAACCCTGGGGCGCCGGCTCGGCCGGGGTCGCCCGGGATGCCTTTGGGCCCTTTTGGGCCCGGGAAGGCGCGACCATCAGGACCCGGGGCCCCGATGCGTCCCACACGTCCTTGGGGCCCATCCTGGCCCGGAGCACCAGGGTCACCTGGCGGATAACAACCCTGTTATCACTCAGCCCTGTTATTACTGAGCCCTGTTATCACTGAGCCCTGTTATCAATGAGCCCTGTTATCACTGAGCCCTGTTATCACTAAGCCTTGTTATCACTGAGCCCTGTTATCACTGAACCCTGTTATCTGTTATCACTGAGCCCTGTTATCAATGAGCCCTGTTATCACTCAGCCCTGTTATCACCTCATGGGGGAGTAGGGTGAGGGGGAGAGGGGCTGCCTCGTACCTTGCACCCCCGGGTCGCCGTGGCCCGAGAAGATCCCCGACAGTCCCGGGGCCCCGCGGTAACCCTGGGGTCCGATGTCTCCGGGTTGGCCCTGCCCGACAAATCAATCGTGAATAATCGGCACTAAGGCCGGCGATACCATTACCAGAATACCGCTGTATATTTACGAAGTGAGATACACGATATTTCAGTTCACATTTTTTATTTATAAATAACTTAAGATTGCAAAGGTAAGAAGACCGTTTATCTTCAGCGGGCCCGGCCCAAGATGAAGTCCCTTGCTTGATAGTGGGGTCCGAGTCTTCCGTGTAGACCACAGGTCTTACCTTGGGGCCCGGGTTCTCGCCTTGAGGCCCGAGTCCCAACGTGGAGCCCAAGTCTCATCTTGGGGCCCGGGGTCTTACCTTGGGGCCTGGGTCTTACCTTGGGGCCCGAGGTCTCATATTTGTTGCCCGGAGACTCTCCTTGGGGCCCGAGTGTCACCTTGTGGCCCAGGGTCTCACCTTGGGGCCCGGGTTTCCGTCAAAGCCTCGGTTCCCTGGTATGCCTTCCGGTCCAAAATCTCCTCGTGGCCCGATGGCCCCGTCAGTCCCAGGGTCCCCGGCAAGCCCCGGGCGTCCTTGTGGTTCGATAAAATCATCATCATCAATAATAATCAAAATAAATAATAATTTAACGTAGTTAGTATTTATTTAACATAAATAATTAGTATACATTTAACATAAATAATTATAATTAATATTTTTTATTAATTAATTAGTGTTGTGATCAATCTTGTTTTCGTCATTCTATTGTACAATATTTATAATCACTTCATTCCATTTCACCATATTTTTAATTAATTCATTTCCTTATACAATAAATATTAACATTTCATTCCATTGCACAAAAATTATTTGGACAAACATGTTGGCCCGTTGGTCCCGCGCCCAACGGGCCCGGCTGGTCCCGACTCTCACCTCTGAACCCGCCATCTCCAGGCTGTCCCTTGACGCCGTAGGCCCCATGACGTCCCGGTTGTCCCAAGGCCCCGGGTCGTCCGTCGAACCCTGGGTCTCCTGGGGCCCCGACGCTGCCGTATATCCCAGGCTCCCCCTTCCGACCCGGGAACCCTCTTTGGCCCGGCAACCCTGGGGCACAGGAAGGGCATATGTCGCTAAATGGTACATGGCAACTGATGTTAAATGGTACATCACCGTACATGGCAACTGATGTTAATGGTACATGGCAACTGATGCCGCTAAATGGTGCATGACAACTGATGTCGTTAAATGGTACATGACAACTGATGTTAAATGGTACATGGCAACTGATGAAGCTAAATGGTATATGGCAACTGATGTCGCTAAATGGTACATGGCAACTGATGTCGTTAAATGGTATATGACAAAGGATATTGAAAGGTACATGGCAGTTGATGTCGTTAAATGGTACATGGCAACTGATGTCTGGGGGTTACCTGACATCCCTATCTGGCCGGGGTTGCCAGGGAACCCTGGAAAGCCGTTGAACCCTTGGTCCCCTGGCGGTCCCCTCTCCCCGGGGACGCTGATGCCCTGGTTGCCGCGTTGACCCTGCAGGGTTGGGGTAATTATCCCCCTGAATTACTTTAAATTTCCACGGTTTACATAAAGTTACCCTAGACTATGACCATCAGTTACCCTGGAAAACTCGAAGTTACCCTGAAATGTGAACGTCAATTACCCTTTATCACTTGAATTTACCCTGAAATATGGCTCATTATTACCATAAATTAAATAAAATTACCCTGGAGAAGAAGGGCCTATATAAAAGGAATAAGGGCCCCATATAAGGGGAAGAGGGGCCTCACCTTCCTGCCGTTAATCCCAGGTAATCCAGCGATGCCCTTGGGCCCCCTGGGCCCCACGGTTCCCGGGTAGCCATAGAACCCCTTGGCCCCGGGGAAGCCTTGGTCCCCAGTCTCCCCTTTAGAGCCAGGGAGGCCCGGCTGTCCCGGTGGGCCCGCCACGTCTGAACGTCCCGCGTCCCCAGCGTCTCCTTTGTCCCCGGGGGTCCCCTGGGGGGACGCATTTAATATTAATTAAATTGATTTATTTAATATTTATTATTATTTTAATTTTATTTATTTTATTTCTCATTTATTATTATTTTAATTTTATTTTGTCTATTTATTACTTTAAAATATAATTTTATTTATTTATTACTACAAATTTATTATTTTAAAATATATACACAATTAATGCGCAAACATTGACTGAAATTATACATAAATCTTATAGTTATATAGTATTTTATATCATATCATATTTTATAGTATTTATCATATAGTATTTATGTTAAATATTTTCAGGTAAAAGAGAGTTAGAGAAAATTGATCATTTTAAAATATATAATGCAATTATTACACAAACCTTAAATGAAATTATACATAAATATTATAGCTATAATATTATAGATTATATAGTATTTTATCTGATAATTTAATATAGTATTTTAATTTTTTTCATTTACAAAAAGTGGCGTGGAAAACTAACGTCAATGCCTGGGTCGCCTTGGGCCCCTTGGGCCCCAATCTGTCCCCTGAAGCCTGGGGCCCCAACGATTCCTGGGTAGCCCTTGAGGCCCGTCAGCCCGTCCATCTTGGGCCCAGGTGTCCCCACATTGCCTCGCACGCCCTTGGGGCCCCGGATCCCAACGGGCCCAGGGTTGCCGGGCCTTCCAGGGTAACCTGCAAGAAAATCTATTTAGAAGAGGGCCTACCTGCGGGCCAAGGCCCTCTTACCTGCGGGTCCAGGGTCCCCCCTCACCAGCGGGCCCAGGCCCCCTCACCTGCGGGTCCAGGGTCCCCCTCACCTGCGGGTCCCTCACCTGCGGGTCCAGGGTCCCCCCTCACCTGCGGGTCCAGGGTCCCCCCTCACCTGCGGGTCCAGGGTCCCCGCGCTCTGCCTCTAAGGTGAAGAAACCGCCGGCCGCGCCCTTGATGCCCTTTGGGCCCGCCTGCCCTTGGTAGCCCCTAAGGAGAAGCGGGTCTATATAGGGTCCATTAGGGTCCATAATTCCCCTATAATTTCAATATATCCCTATTATTAATATAAATGCTATATTATATATATTCAATAGGGTCCATTGATCGGTTCATTAGGGTCCATTAGGGCCAATTGAGCGGTCCATTAGGGTCTATTAGGGTCCATTGAGCGGTCCATTAGGGTCCATTAGGGTAGAAACTGGCGCACAGAGCTGGGATCGAACCCGCAACTCACTGCGCCAATCTTGGTACTCTGAACTGTAACCACTGGGCCACACTGTTAATTAAGCTTCATTCTGTATCCATCTATTAATTAATTTCTTAATTATTTCACCATTTATTAATTAAGCTTCATTATTTCCCTAATTATTTTTTAAGTTTCATTATTTCTTCATTTATTACTTGAGCTGCATTATTTCTCCGTGTATTAATTATGCTCTATCTTAATAATAATAAAACATATGAAATTTCCTCCTAATAAATTAATAAGCATGAAACTCACCTAACAAATTTCTCAGTAGTTCTATTGAAGTATGATTAAATATTATTATTAGGCACTGGACTTAAGTGAGATTACCTTAAATAAAAAAAAAAAAAAGAGTTAAAAAGTAGTATGGTTTAGAAAAGTGATAGGTTCGAATGGACATACTTTACCGAAGTTACTGTTGCTACTCTCAGGTTAGAAAACGGATCTAAACGAAGAAAATATGATTTTCGTTGATATACTAATTTGATTGGCAATGAGTACATAATCAAAGAATAAATCACCTATTCTTGGTCATAATGTCAGAAAAGCGTTCAGAATGAAAAATTTACGCCCAGAAGTTTTATTTTCTATTTAATCTAAATATTCGGCTACGACTGCCTTTAGAAGTTTGTGTAGATTGAGCAATGCGATGTCATTCTTTCTTATTAGTAGTGTTTGTTCGTTCGTTGATTGTCGTTTATTTCTGATGCACTATTCATTCTTTTATTCCTATAATTGCATTAAGAATTTGAGGATAAAACCTAATTTTTTGCCTTACAGATTGCCATGAAGTCATGAACCCATTAATTAATTCTTTGGTTTCCATAGCAACGCAAAGTTGCCATGTGCTCATTAACAAATTCTTTTGTTTCCATAGCAACGGAAAGGTTGCCAAGTACCCATTAATCAATTCTTCTCTCCGGCGGGGGCTCTAAATCCCTAGGGTAATTATACCGAGTGATCACTAGCGTCTAGTTCATTCCTAGTCACTGGTGTCTAGTTCGACTCACTCTACGTATATTACCTGCATTGCCATATGTAACGTGAACGCCCTATTGGCCTTGAGGCACTTGTGGGCCCCAATGGCGCTCTATTGGGGCCTTCTGAGGCACTAGTGGGACCCAACTGAAGTTCTAGAGGACATGAGGTCGTTTCAAACACTGAGGTTCTGTGGGGCCCCGTTGAAGCCCCAGTGGGCCCCACTCGAGGCCATAATTCGCACCTGCTCGCCTGCGGCGCCCACTCGTCCATCAGCGCCGGGCCGCCCCTGAGGCCCTCGAGGCCCGGCGTCACCAATGGGGCCCGGGAAGCCTGGGTCTCCCCTGACCCCGGGCAGTGCGGGGCCCGGGATTAGGGAGCCTGGCTCCCCCTTGCGCCCCGCGTACCCAGAGAGGCCTGCGGGGATGACGGGGAGGGAGGGGGTAGAAATATATGTATATAAAAGCCTGGAATTGATATATACATATAAATATATATAAAATGTATATATAAATATAGTAAAATATGAATAAAATATTAATATATATAAAGTGTATGTAAATATATATAAAATAAAAAGAATGTATAAAATGCATCTCTCAGAGAATAAAGAAAGAAAGATTTTTTTAATAAATAAAAGAGAGGGAATGATGAATATAACCAAATAGTAAAGTACAATTGTTTAATATTTTTTAGTTCGATTAAAAAGTTGTTAATATTTCCAACTTGAATAAAAAAGGAAGCTAAAATTTTTGGTTAATGTATTAATCCATATTCAATTTACCAAAGTTACTGATAATATACCCGGTAATAGAAAACGACTTCCACAAGAAAAAATTTACACTTTGCTGGTAGACTTTGGTATTGCGTAACGGAATTATTAATACAAAAGTCCAAATCATTAAATATAATGTATCTATAAAAATACAAAATGAAAGAAAAACATACATAAACACAACTTTAAATGTAATTGTGTAATCATGTTTTTTAATGTATTCATAAATGTACTTTATATATAATCAGAATCACATTGAACTGAGAAGTCAAATGATTCCATAACATAAGTAGACGACCTGAAACTGTCCAAACTTTAGCATATAAAATGAGATAAATTGTGATAGATTTCGATATAATAAAAAAGTTAGATTTTTTTTCGGCATGTAGAAACCGAAATTGTTACTGTCTTCAATAAAATACTGGAATATTTAAAATATTCCAATATAAATAATAAAATAAATACTAATAATAATAATAATAATATTAATATTATAATAATAATAATATAAATAATAATAATAATTCAGTTACCGTTTGATCCCGCGATACCGTCGGGCCCGCGGTTGCCCGCGAGGCCCACGTTCCCCGCGATGCCCTTCCTGCCCGCGGGGCCCGGGAACCCGGGCTCCCCTTTGAACCCCGGGCTGCCTGGGTACCCCGGGTCCCCCCGCTCTCCGGGGAGGCATGGGGACTCTGAGGGAGGAGAACAATGGGGGTTAGGGGGATTAGGGGGATTAGGCGATGTTCCTTTTCGATAAGAAATATTGAAATTAAATATAAATAATTTATATATAATTATAATTTGATGAATTAATACGCGTACTATATAATTAAATATAATCATAATTTACTAATTTACTAGATAATATTAAGGTAAGGACTTGTGAATATTTAGGTTAGCCCAAAATGGCCCGCCAATTTGGCCCACAATGGACCTATTATTTGGCCCAAAATGTTCCTTTATTTGGCCCATAATGGCCCTCTCATTTAGCCCACAATGGCCCTCTCATTTGGCCCACAATGGCCCTCTCATTTGGCCCACAATGGCCCTCTCATTTGGCCCACAATGGCCCTCTCATTTGGCCCACAATGGCCCTCTTATTTGGCCCAAATGGCCCTCTCATTTACTCACGGGGCCGCGGGATGCAGGCGTCGCCCGTGGGGCCCTTGATGCCCGGGACCCCGTTGGGGGCGTCCCGGGGGCTGAATCCCGGGTCCCCCGTGGGGCCCATGAAGCCCTTGAAGCCCTTGGGGCCCTTGATGGGGACACCGAGGCCCGGTATGCCCTTGAGACCTGCGGGCGGGGCCCACATTAATTCCTGATTAGCATTAATTGGGGACGCTAATTGGGGACGCTAAATGGGGACGCTAATTGGGGACACATATTAATTTAATAATTAAGGAGTAATTTAGGTTAACTTAAACTGTTTTATATTTCTCGATAATTGGACTCATAACAAAGAATTATTAATTCCTATTTAACAATTATATATCCTAGTTAACAATTGAATATTTTAATTAACAATTGTATATCCTAATTATCAATTAAATATCCTAATTAAAAATTATATATCATAATTAACAATTATTTATCCAAATTAACAATTATATATCATATTAAGCAATTATATATCAATTTTAACAAATATATTTAATAATAAATAATTATTTATCGTAATTAACAAATATTTATTCTAATTATCAATTACTTATCCCAATAAACAAATATAAGGGCTCAACCCTAAGGGTCAGGGTTACCTGGCCGGCCCGCGTCGCCCTGTTGACCCTGAAGACCGTTGACCCCCGCGCGGCCCGGTCTGCCGTCCCGACCCTTGGCCCCAAAGTCGGGGTCCCCGACGAACCCTTTACGACCCGCGAACCCCGGGGGGCCCACGTCCCCCCGTGGGCCCTGGATGCCTGGGACGCCCGGGAACCCTGCGGGGGGGGGGAGGGGGGGATTAGTCAGGGGTAAGCCCTAATGGGGTCAGTTAACCCTAATGGGGTTCAAGACAGTTAACCATAATGGGGTGTATGACAGTTAACCCTAATGGGTTCAATTAACCCTAATGGGGTTTAAGGCAGTTAACCCTAATGGGGTTTAAGACAGTTAACCCTAATGGGGTTCAGTTAACCCTAATGGGGTTTAAGGGAGTTAACCCTATTGGGGTTTAAGACAGTTAACCATAATAGGGTTAAGGGCAGTTAACTCCTGATGGGTTTAAGGCAGTTAACCCTAATGGGGTTCAAGACAGTTAACCATAATGGGGTTCAAGACAGTTAACCCTAATGGGGGTTAAGACAGTTAACCCAAATGGGGTTTAAGACAGTTAACCCTGATGGTATTAATCAGCAGTTAACCCTAACGGGGTTCAGTTATCCCTAATGGGGTTTAAGATAGTTAACCCTATGGGGTTCAGTTAACCCTAATGGGGTTTAAGATAGTTAACCCTGGTGGGGTTTAAGGCAGTTAACCCTGATGGGGTTCAGTTAACCCTGATGGGGTTAAAGGCAGTTAACCCTGATGGGGTTTAAGGCAGTTAACCCTGATGGGGTTCAGTTAAGCCTAATGGGATTTAAGACAGTTGACCCTGATGGGGTTTAAGGCAGTTAACCCTAATGGGGTTTAAGACAGTTAACCCTAATAGGGGTTACCTTGTATGCCAGGGTCCCCCGGAGGGCTGATCCCTTGTCGGCCCGGGTCTCCCGCGGGTCCGGGGGGTCCGGGCTCGCCGGGCAGGCCCCGGTTGCCCCCTCCGCCCGGGTAGCCATCCCGCCCGCGGTCTCCTTGGAAGCCCGGCAGCCCCGCGGGGCCCTGGGGCCCTGTTGGGGAAAAGGGGGTTAAAAAAAGGGAGTGCATGGGCCCGGCATTGGCCCCACCTATCACCCCAGCTTGGGCCCCACTCAACACCCCAGCATGGGCCCCACTCAACACCCCAGCATGGGCCCCACTCAACACCCCAGCATGGGCCCCACTTAACACCCCAGCATGGGCCCCACCTGTCTCTTATACACATCTCTTTAAATGTANAACAGCATTACGACTGGATAACTGGACTGGATAACAACAAAAGGATAACAGCATTACGACTGGATAACTGGACTGGATAACAACAAAAGGATAACAACATTACGACTGGATAACTGGACTGGATAACAACAAAAGGATAACAACATTACGACTGGATAACTGGACTGGATAACAACAAAAGGATAACAGCATTACGACTGGATAACTGGACTGGATAACAACAAAAGGATAACAGCATTACGACTGGATAACTGGACTGGATAACAACAAAAGGATAACAACATTACGACTGGATAACTGGACTGGATAACAACAAAAGGATAACAACATTACGACTGGATAACTGGACTGGATAACAACAAAAGGATAACAACATTACGACTGGATAACTGGACTGGATAACAACAAAAGGATAACAACATTACGACTGGATAACTGGACTGGATAACAACAAAAGGATAACAACATTACGACTGGATAACTGGACTGGATAACAACAAAAGGATAACAACATTACGACTGGATAACTGGACTGGATAACAACAAAAGGATAACAACATTACGACTGGATAACTGGACTGGATAACAACAAAAGGATAACAACATTACGACTGGATAACTGGACTGGATAACAACAAAAGGATAACAACATTACGACTGGATAACTGGACTGGATAACAACAAAAGGATAACAACATTACGACTGGATAACTGGACTGGATAACAACAAAAGGATAACAGCATTACGACTGGATAACTGGACTGGATAACAACAAAAGGATAACAACGTTACGACTGGATAACTGGACTGGATAACAACAAAAGGATAACAACATTACGACTGGATAACTGGACTGGATAATAACAAAAGGATAACAGCATTACGACTGGATAACTGGACTGGATAACAACAAAAGGATAACAACATTACGACTGGATAGCTGGACTGGATGACAACAAAAGGATAACAACATTACGGGACTCACACGAGCTCGTAGTCCGGGGGGCTGCCGTCGGGCCCCCGCTCCCCCATGTCCCCCTTCATGGCCTCCACTAGTCCCCCCGGGTCCCCGGGGTCTCCCTTGGGCCCGTCCCAACCAGGCCGACCCGGTGAACCCTGGGGGAGGGGAGAGGGGGGAGTAGTCAGTTGCGGGGAGGGGGTTAATTGCTCGAGGGGGCAATTTCTCAGGTACTTAAGGCTTAACCCCTAATTTAACCCCCTCCTAGAGTGGGAGGGGGGGTTATGTGAGTGGGAGGCCAATGGTTAACGCCAAAAATGGGTTGGGGGGTAGTAAGTTGGGGGTAGGTTGGTTGGGNACAGCCGTGACACACCCCACCCCCGGGACACTCACCTGCAGCCCCCGTATGCCCTCGGGGCCCGGGTAGCCCTTGTTGCCCTTCATCCCGCGGATGCCCTGGACCCCCGCGAGGCCCGGGGTGCCGCTCTCCCCCCGCGCCCCGGGGGAGTTGATCCCCCCCTCCCCCGAGTCCCCCTTGAACCCCGGCACCCCCTTGGGGCCTGTAGAGGGGGGAGGAGGGGTTATATCATTTAATATATATAATATAATTTATTAATTTATATTTCTCACGTATATCTTATATACGAGTATATTAATATATATAAATAATAAAATAATAAATATGTATCTTAAATATTACGTACGACTTTAATATATATAGATTTAATATTATTATTAGCTAATGAATGGGTAGAATATATATAGGTTATAGCTGTTAATGTATATAGCTTATAAGAATTATTATAATAAAATAATTATTATAAAATAAAATTGAAATGAAAAATATTATACGTATAAAATAACATAATTAATTTCATTAATATAAAAAAATTATTTATAACATACCTTCAGGGCCCGGTAGGCCCGCTGGGCCCGGATAGCCCGGGGCCCCGGGCCGGCCGTCGGTCCCGTTGCACCCCGGGATGCCGAGGGCCCCGCGGATGCCCTGCGACCCGGGCAGGCCCGGGATGCCCGCGGTCCCCTTGAAGCCCGGCATCCCTTGGTCCCCGCGGGACCCTTTGGGGCCCATACTGCCGGGGTCCCCCGTGTCCCCATAGGGCCCGGGCTGACCTGGCCCCGGGGGAAGACAATCAATTATTATATAAATAATATTATATTACTAATTATTAATAATAAATATTATTATATTGTCAATTATTATTATATAAATATTAGTATTTTTATTAACAAAGTATTGCCGTACATTCATGTGCACAATACTAAAGATAAAAATAATTGTATTTTATTTTTAACAAATTATATTTGGTTTAAATGCAATACATTTCAATTAAATTAGACGGCAGACAAATAAGTTGATTATTAAATGATTTTTAATTATTGGTTATTAACTAATTATTAATTAATTATGTTTCGTTGATTATAAATTTTGTATATTTATTTATTACTTATTCATTGTTTCATTTTTAATTTATTAATTATTTATATATTAATTATGAAATAATTTTGTTTATTGATTATTAAATTATTAATTGTGTTTATGTGGGGCCCACTGACCCGTGGGGCCCTCGTAGCCCGGGTCTCCAGGGAAGCCCGTGTGGCCCTGCAGGCCCGGGAGGCCCGGCGCCCCCGGTGGGCCCGGGTCGTCGCAGCGGCAGGGGCGGGACACACAGCAGTCCTGTGGGCCCAGACCCCACTGACTCAGTGGCCACTTACTCAGTCACCACTGACTCAGTTACCACTGACTCAGTCACCACTGACTCAGTCAGTCAGTCACCACTGACTCAGTCACCACTGACCCAGTCACCACTGACTCAGTCACCACTGACTCAGTCACCACTGACTCAGCCACCACTGACTCAGCCACCACTGACTCAGTCACCACTGACTCAGTCACCACTGACTCAGTCCCCACTGACTCAGTCTCCACTAACTCAGTCACCACTGACTCAGTCCCCACTGACTCAGTCCCCACTGACTCAGTCACCACTGACTCAGTGGCCACTGACTCAACTTTAAATAAATTTAACTTATATAATAGACTTTATTCACTCATATTTAAATAAAATTATTCAAGTTTAGTTCTAATAAAATATATTTATATAATATATATAATAAAATTATTTATTATATATATTATAGATAATAAAATTGTAAATAATTGCTATAATAATTTAAACATAATTTATTAAGAGAATAATTTCAAAAAGAAATCACTATTCTGTGATGATTTTAATGATGAGTACAAAGTGAATAATTTTTTTGTAGATACTCATTAAAGTTTAGTGTAAAAAAATATTATTTTTAGAACATATATTATTTAGAACTATATTTATAATTAAAAATAATTGTTATATATATATTCAAATATAATTTATAAAAATTGATTTATTTAGTATAACTCAAGGCTTGGGTTATACAAAATAATTATTTATCTATATTATATTTAATAGTATAATTAAAAACAATTGTTATACTGTATATATTTCAATATAAGCTTGGGTTATAATAAATACTTATTTATTTATATTATAAGTAATAATATAATTGATAATAATTCTTATATATATTTAAATATAATTTATTAAAAGCTATTAATTTATTTAATATAACTCACGGCCTGGGCACGCTGAGCAGCGCCCAGCAGCCCGACCAGCAAGATGACTGACGCCTTCATGTCGCCCTAGTCCATAGCAACTAGTGGCGTGTAGATATACGCTCTAACACTTCTCTATCAGCGTGTAGAAATACCTCTAACAGCGTGTAGTTATACCTCTAACACACCCCTACCAGCGTGCTGTTATACGCTGTAACACGCCCCTAACTGTCAGCGTGTAGTTATACCCTGTTACACACCCCTACTGTCAGCGTGTAGTTATACCCTGTAAAACACTCCGATGAGCCTGTAGTTAAACTCTGTAACAGCGTGTAGATATACGCTGTAACACTCCCCTATCAGCGTGTAGTAATACCCCTAATACGCCCCTAACCACCAGCGTGTAGTTCTAGCACCCACACGCCCCAATTATCAGGGTGTGGCTTCACTGTACAAGTAAAAGATTAGATTAACACTCTACGGGGATTTAACTCCGTGATTCGTAGCTCGGTTTTCGGAGCGGACGAACGCACTCCTTCCTCCGTGGCCGCCAGCGCGCAACTGAGCTGCCCACACTCGGTGCAGCGGTGGTTGCCCGCGTTAACCACACCCTGTGCCAACCATGACAACCTTTGTCCTTTGGTTGTCTTATGGTTGTCTTTTACTGCTTTTTTATGTTTAAATATCTCATATAATAAATATTTATTCATTATTAACCAACTTCAAAAGCCTGGAAACGGTTTAAAAAGCCTTAATGTGATCGGGTTTAATTGGTAGTTGGCATCTGGAGGGGTCACGCCCGCAAGCTCGAATTGTGTCCCAGTGCCCGTGCCCCAGAGTGGCCCTGGCCAGCGTCGGGGGCAGACGTGCGTCGTTCCGTGCCTAAGTTGACTTTGATTGTGAACAAAACTCTTTACTTTTTCTGGCTGCCAAAGGCACAAACTTTGGAGAAGATCGGGTGACTGGGGGCTCTTGTTTCCATGCAAACTTTATATGAAAGTTTATAGAGTTATCAATTATATAATATAATGAACAATAAACAATTTGAAGTTTTTACATATATTGTCGATATTAAGTAAATATGTAAATGATTTTTAATGGCCCAATTTCTTTATTAAATTAAAGCGATTCTTTGTTCACAATTCCATCCCATTATTCTTTAATCAATTTTTTTTCGCCTATCATCACCGTAATATTTTAAACCCTTAACGCATATAATCGTAAACATTACAATTATTATTAAACCATTTATTAAATCAGATTACAAATAAATAAAACATTAATAAGCCATTAATAATAAAATCAATTCTTAGAGAAACCGCCGTGCGATGTAGATTGATTTAACAATTATTAATACTCTAATTAAATAATTATTTAAATTAAATTAATTAATTCAGAGAAATAATTTAGGCGTCGTAAAAGATCGTAAAGCGTCGTAATCTCGCCGGCACGTGGAGGATAAGTGATGGATCTGTGAAGGATAGAAGGATCCAAGATGGCGGCGCTACCACGAACTGCGGCGCTATGGTAGGTCATGGTAGTGGTCATGGTAGTGGGCCATGGTAGTGGGTCATGGTAGTGGTCATGGTAGTGGTCATGGTAGTGGTCATGGTAGTGGTCATGGTAGTGGTCATGGTAGTGGTCATGGTAGTGGTCATGGTAGTGGTCATGGTAGTGGTCATGGTAGTGGTCATGGTAGTGGTCATGGTAGTGGTCATGGTAGTGGTCATGGTAGTGGTCATGGTAGTGGTCATGGTAGTGGTCATGGTAGTGGTCATGGTAGTGGTCATGGTAGTGGTCATGGTAGTGGTCATGGTAGTGGTCATGGTAGTGGTCATGGTAGTGGTCATGGTAGTGGTCATGGTAGTGGTCATGGTAGTGGTCATGGTAGTGGTCATGGTAGTGGTCATGGTAGTGGTCATGGTAGTGGTCATGGTAGTGGTCATGGTAGTGGTCATGGTAGTGGTCATGGTAGTGGTCATGGTAGTGGTCATGGTAGTGGTCATGGTAGTGGTCATGGTAGTGGTCATGGTAGTGGTCATGGTAGTGGTCATGGTAGTGGTCATGGTAGTGGTCATGGTAGTGGNAGCATGGGCCCCACTCAACACCCCAGCATGGGCCCCACTCAACACCCCAGCATGGGCCCCACTCAACACCCCAGCATGGGCCCCACTCAACACCCCAGCATGGGCCCCACTCAACACCCCAGCATGGGCCCCACTCAACACCCTAGCATGGGCCCCACTCAACACCCTAGCATGGGCCCCACTCAACATCCCAGCATGGGCCCCACTCAACACCCCAGCATGGGCCCCACTTAGCACCCTAGCATGGGCCCCACTCAACACCCTAGCATGGGCCCCACTCAACACCCCAGCATGGGCCCCACTGAAGTTCCCTTCATGGGCCCCAGTGTTCAAGGGCCCTTCCGTGCTCCTTAAGGCCTCCCCAGTCCCCAAGGCCCCATGGGGCCCCACCCACCAGGGGGCCCTGCGTAGTACTCCATGAGCGTGGGGTCATAGACCCCCGGGAGGCCCACGTCCCCCACGAGGCCCGGTCTGCCGTCGTAGCCTCGGTCCCCGCGGTCTCCCTGGGGACCGATGGTAGAAATAACAAAGACAACAATGGTACATAGTATTTTTATTAGTTAATATTAATTAATATTGATACTATTAATAACAATACCGTTAATTAATAATAGTAATATTATTAATTAATGTTAATACTAATAAAAATTAATAAATTATTAATTAATAGGTCCATATTGCAGAATTGTAATCCTATTTAAATAGAGATATAATAATATTCGTTTAAAAATTATTTTATATAGACAACACTTCTAATTTTTAAATGTACGTATAAACGAAAATTTTTCACATTTTTTTTCGACATAAATTTTTGTTACTTTTTAAAATTATTTATTATTTAAATTATTATTAAAGTATTTAAATTATTTTTTTTACCTTCTCGCCGAAGAGGCCCGGGAGGCCCTCGAGGCCCGGGGCCCCCTTGAAGCCCTTCATACCGGGCTCGCCGGGCCGGCCCTGGGACCCGGTCTTGCCTCTCCACCCCCGCACCCCCACCTCCCCCTTGCACCCCTTGACCCCATCGCGGCCATCTTTGCCGGGGGCCCCATTGTGGATGATGAGGTTGTCGGGCCCGGGGGGGTAACTGGGGGTTAAAAGGGGGGTTAAAGAAGTCTGGGAGGTAACTGGGGATTAAAAAGGGTTAAGGGGCCCGGGGGTATCTGGGGGTGAAAGGGGTTAAAGGGTCCTGGGAGGAACTAGGGGTTAAAAATGGGTTAACTGGAACGCTGTTCTAAAATTGCACAAAAGGATAACAACATTACGACTGGATAACTGGACTGGATAACAACAAAAGGATAACATTGGTGCAGTGGTGGTGCAGTGGTGGTGCAGTGGTGGTGCAGTGGTGGTGCAGTGGTGGTGCAGTGGTGGTGCAGCGTCGCGCGTGCAATAAAAATTACAAACAAACTCGAGGACGTCGACCCTAAGGGTTCCAGCGACCCTATGGGCTATACCTAAGGGTTGAGAATAAGGGTTCAAATTAAATTTTAGTCATAAATTAAATTTTAAGCCTTCATTAAATTTTAAGCCAAAATTTAATTATAAACCATAATTAAAGTTCAAGCCTTAAATAAATTTAAGCCTTAATTAAATGTAGAGCCTTAATTGAATTTTTGGCCTTAATTAAATTTGAGCCTTAATTAAAGGTTAATATTGAATTTTAAGATTTAATTAAATCTGAAGCCTTAATTAAATTTAAGCCTCAAATAAATTTTAAGCATTAATTAAATTTTAACCTTTAAATAAATTGTGTGCCTTAATTAAATGAAATTAAAATAGAAAAAAAGGAAGCCTTAATTAAATTTTAAGCCTTAAATAAATTTCAGGCCTTAATTAAATTAAAATAAAATAAAAAAAGGGTCGGGACGTCTTGTGAAAGACAAGGGGTTGGGGTTGGGGTTGGGGTTGGGGTTGGGGTTGGGGTTCACACGGGGCTTGTCTGTATCAACATCTGTGTTGTGTGGCGCCTTGTGTTGTGTTTACACAATCCTGTGTGACGGTATCCTAGATACCCGTGGGAGCGATGCACGGAGGGTGTGTACGTAGAGTGTGTACGTAGTGTGTGTACGTAGGGTGTGTACGTAGAGTGTGTGTACGTAGGGTGTGTGTACGTAGGGTGTGTACGTAGGGTGTGTACGTAGGGTGTGTACGTAGGGTGTGTACGTAGGGTGTGTACGTAGGGTGTGTACGTAGGGTGTGTACGTAGGG